TGCAGGCATCAGCTTTTTTGTGTTTTACTTAGTTAGCAAGCCCTCCCTGACCATTCATTCCAAATGAGATCTTTGTATTCTGTTTCATAGCACCCTGTCCACGCCAGTCGTAGTCCTTGTAATCTAGCATGTTTCAGTATGTTTAATTTTTCATGTCTGACTCACTCTAGACCCCAACTACAATATGGCAAGGGTTTTGTCTGTTTTGCCTGTCACCCAAGCCGAGCCCAGTAACCATACATCGTAGGTACTTCACACCAAATTACGGAGCTGTCCACGTGTTAGTTCTGTTTCTATCAAGTAAAAAAGAAATTGGATCATCCTGAGACCCCTCTGAATTTCAGCCTCATCCTTTCATTCTTCTCCCCGCTTCAATATCCATAAACTTGTTCTGTGCACAACCCAATTACAAGAAGGGCACTTAATTTCCTCTTTGAGTTCCCTTCAATAACAGATTGTGACTGGTAATTCATTTAGCATACATTGAAACCTGAATGTCTACTGATTATATTCCAAAACACCGAGCTTCCTGTAATAAAGACAGAGAAAAGATGTCATCTCTCGAGGAGAACCTGGAAAATGATTATTTCTGGTGGAAAGCTTGTTTTGTCTCATAGACTTATGCTTCAGAGTCATTCGTGAATGAGTAATGAACTCAGGAAGGGTCAATGAAGCATTCTCTTAACCCTCTCAACCTATTTTGCTGAGAACAGAATAAGAGGAAAGTTACAAGAGGAGATGATGATTTAGGAAGAGGAAAATATGGTTGCTGTAATGTACAACTCTTGAAAGAAGAAAATTGGGCAATTCATCTAGTTTACTATGAGTAGTTTTTCAGGCTTCAATCATGAGTCACCTAAGTAATTTTTTCTCTGCTCTTTAATTCCAATGTTTATTTATTTTATTATTTTCCGAGAGTGAAGTAAAACAGTATGCAAAAGCCAAACTACTTTTAAGAGAGGAGGCAGCAAAAAAAAACATTTTGTGGTCTTTGCCTTGGTATATGACATACAATTTCAATCTAATGCCATAAAGCTTTTATTTTCTCAAGGAATTATTTAAAATGTTTAAAATACTCTCATCACTTTTCTTGGTGGGTGATGAGTCATCCTCTGTAAAGTTTTTAATGATGTAGAATAAACTGCAAATTAAATAGCACAATCAAAACCAGGCATTGAAAATAATGGTGCAGGCAATCAATGATGCTAAATACTGCGGTGTTAAGTGGGTGGTAACATGCATCATGTGGACAGATTGGAGAGTGACGGTCACAGAAAGACACTCTTTAATGACTAGTGGGATGACTGATGTCTAAGCCTTTATATGTCTGTGACATATGTCTAAGTCTTTTGGCCCCACCATCACATCCATCTGCTAAAGGAAAGCAACCCCTTCTCCAATTCAGTCTAGAGGAATCAGCCAACATCAGTCCTATGTATGGACTTACTCTCACCAGGTGCCATCCACTTAGGATGCATCACTCCAGTGATGGTTGAGCAGCTGAGTCTCTCAGTTTTTGTTTGTTTTGCTTTTGCTTTCTAAATAACTTTCTTATAGGCAGCACATCAAAAAAAGCACTGTGTTTCCCTACCACAAAAGTCAGTAGGAAGTATTTGGAGGCAGGAAAGAAAAGAATCAATATACTTCTTTAAACATTGACAGCCATGGCTAGAGGAAACTTCAGAGGCCATGTTAGAAGTTTCTGTTGAACTTTTGGTCACATCCCTTACGATTTTTGTTATTCCAGGAAGAATCAATCTCCAGTGCCTCCTGCTGAGATGATGTTAAGAGACTGTACTAATAATGCATGCCATCTTTCCTTTGGGGAGTTCCAATTTCTTTTTGTATATTTAGCCAGAGTCAAGAGTAGCAAGTTAAGTTCTTTTCAAGTATAGCTGCCAAAACTCAAAGCCACCTTGATGAGTGGTAAGAGAACCCTTTAGGAGACAAACGTGGGAACAATGATGGCTGCCCATCACCTGCTGGGTGTTTTTTTGTGGGCATACTCCTGGGCTGGCCCTCTGGAAGAGCACAGAGAAAGGCCCATCACCTGCTGGGTGCTTTTTGTGGGCATGCTCCTGGGCTGGCTCTCTGAGAGATCACAGAGAGAAGAAAGTACCTGTCCTCTGAGGTATCAGAGGGGGCTCCTGGGCTCCAAGTCTTCCTTGGGCTTCTCACCTCTTTCCCCACTCCTCTTTCTACCTCCTCAGGTGTCCTCACCAAGAGACGCTCTGCAGATATTCTTCTTTCCTCTCTTGACTAATTAAGTGACCCTGGAATGCCAGGACATTTGGGCTTTAATTTACTGGAATTCAGGGGAGAAAGAAGAGGCAGTAACCCTTAGACTGTCCTCAGTAGCCTGGGCGGTGACTGACTGGCTCCCTCATCATCCCCTTCAGAGAAGGAGAGGGCAGTTTGGAAATAGACATAGGTTGAGGGCCAGACTCAAGGTTGCCATATAAATGATTAGCAAAACCTCTCCCAGAATGTAAGACTTTCAATTCCCAGTTTCATAGACCTTATGTTTTTTCTTAAATCAATGTGGTTATGTCATCTGTGGGAATTATCTAAGTTCCTCTTACTCATTTATTTTCAGTTCCTTTTGCCAGGCCCAGAGGCTAATGTTCCCTGTGTCACTTCTTTCAAATCTGACTTTCATTCCTACTTTGCTGCAGTGTTTCTCCATAGAGATACCCTTGTCATTTTAAGGGGACACTTCCTCACCCTATAAGTGACCTTCCTGATCTTTGAAAGGTTTTAGCATCCCTGATCCCAGGCACTAAATGCCTGTAGTGATCCCACTCATGAATGTAACGCAAAGAAACAGCCCTGCTCAATTCCAGACACTATTGGTGTTGGGAGTAAGGGACATCCCAGTTGAGAACCACTACTAGAGTCTTAGACAGGCCCTTGCTCTACCTCCTACTCCAGTATGACCAACACCTCTTCTCCCTGACCACATCCCTCCTTGTCTTTAAAGGTCTGCTCAGGGGCACCTGGGTGTCTCAGTCAGTTAAGTATCTGACTCTTGATTTTGGCTCAGCCATGATCTCACAGTTTGTGGGATCGAGCCCCACGTCAGACTCCATGCTGACAGAGTGGAGCCTGCTTGTGATTCTCTCTCACCCTCTCTCTCAGTCCCACCCCTGCTTGCTGTCTCTCTCTTTCTTTCTCTCTCTCTCAAAATAAATAAACATTTTTTAAAAATAAAGTTCTGCTTAAATCTCAGGGGGAAGGATTCCTTGGTTGAGTCATTCATTTAATGTTTACTCAGTGAGTATCTACTGAGTACCTGCTAACAGTTCCAGGCACTGTTTGAGGAGCTGCTGATCCACTAGCCATTAGCTGTCCCTCAGATGGGCACCTTCCTAATGCTGTCCTACCTTAACCTTTTCATTGCATTTCATTTCATAATTGTCCTCAAGTCATCCCTGGACCTCCAGTGTGACTTCCTATCTAGGGACTGAGCTTCCCTGAGACAATGACTACTTATTCTACTTTTGTCTTTGTTTTGCTGTTTGTTTTGCTTATTCTGCCCTCCTCCTGGAGGCCAGGGCAATAGTCTCTACACAGTAGGAATTCAGTAAGTGTTGGACTGACTGATCCAAGGACATGCAGCTACTACCAAAGGTGTATTTCCTTTCTGTAATAGTGATGATGACACTAATGTGTCAGCTTTTTTTTCTAATCTGAAGATTCTATTTTGTCTGCTGTCTAAATGGAAACAGGAATAACATGGGAAACATTTTGGTGTCCCTGGTGATTAGTAAACTTGACATATGTAGTATACATGGTAAAAATGAACTGTATGCACTCTTTATTTTCTGGTACATCCTGAGTGAGCCTTCATCCAAGAGGCCATGCTTTGATCCCCTCCCAATTATAACTTCTGAGAAAGAGAATAGAGTATGACCTTGGCCTTCTGAAGCCTCAGAGTACTCAATGATAGAAAGCCAATGTACAAAAATTTAGAATAGCCAGACAAAAAGAAAGTGATTACAAACATGAGAGAATCTGATGGAGAAATGACAGCCTTTTTCTTTTCTTTTTCTCTTAGTTTTTGTATTATGGAAAGTTTCAAAAACATCCAAAATATCCAGAATAATATACTAATCCCTCAGTGTGCTCATCACCTAGCTCCAACAGTTATCAACAGTTATTAAGGCCGTCGTGTTTCATTTATAAATGCCCACCCATTCTCCCTTTGTTCCAATTGTACTGTTTTAAAATAAATCCCAACCTCGTATAATAGTACCCATAAATATTTCAAAATAGATCTCTAAAAGACACTTTTAAAAACCATAGTATCATTACTATGCCTAAAACAAATCAGCAATCTCATAATACTCTCACTCTTCTAATCCCAATTTCCAATTGTGCTTTTCCAAGAAACCTAAAAAAGTATACTTTAGGGGCACCTGGGTGGCTCATTTGGTTAAGTGTTCAAATTCAGCTCAGGTCTTAATCTCACAGTTCGTGGGTTCGAGCCCCACATTGGGCTGTCTGCTGTCAGTGCAGAACCCACTTTGGATCCTGTCCTTTCTTTCTGTATACCTCCCCCACTCACGCTCTCACTCTCTCTCTCAAAAATAAATTTAAAAATTCTTTTAATTACACTTTCATTGAGAAAGAAGCTACAAAGGAACAAGAACAGATATTTTTCTTACAGGAAAGTAGAATAAAGCAATGGTAAAGGTGATTTCAGAAAGTAAAAATGAAGTAAGTCTGAGCCACTCTGGGTCTCCAGAGACTGGTCTAACCTCACCTTTCAAGAACTCCGTACGTCTCATGCTCGCCCCCTGGTGGCGGGTTTGTGCTGCGGGCTTCAGTTAACTGGGGAACATCCGTTTCATAATATGATGGGCCTCTACGATGTTGCTGGTAGTTTAATATTTGCCCACATGGCAAAAACGTGTGTGACACAGGTTTTTTAAAAGTGTTGATTGAGTACATAATTTAAAGTCAGAATATTAAATAAACATCTCTGCCCTTCCTTCCAGCAGGCAGCCCAGAGAACTGCTCTCCACGCTCTGTCTGACAGGTACATTTTGTCATTTTTATGAACTATAAATTGCTTTATGAAACATTGAGCCCTATTTATTGTGGCATATAATTCATAATCGGATTTTGTCCCTAAAGTATCTGTGAACTGGGATGTTAAACATTTTGCATGCTTGGATTTGTCATGCATGTGTGGAGTTTATTACTGCAAAAATCGCCTTGTTGTATTTCATAGAAAGTATGAAGAATCCCTTGTTGTGCAATGAAACAGGAGACAAGAAACTTAGAGGGAAAGACCTGAATGGTGCAGTAAATTCTGAACTTTGGAATTGGTTGAGATCTAAGCTCATTTTTCAGCAATAAGTACTTCATTCATTTTGAGATGTTTTCTTCAGACTTTTTCCATATCATTTCACAGGAGTTGTCTGTCTTTTGATGAAATCTTCTCATGAAAATACTTTGCACATGTAACCCAGTTCATGGTCCTGAGAGCCTGACTTTTCCCTCCTCGCTTTGGCCTGTGTTTTTGTACTTGTGTTATTGAATGAGATATATAAACCTAATCAGTAAACACACTCAAGCTGTATTTCACATCCTGCTCTGCCAAAAAGGCTTTATAAAAAGATAGCTGAACAGGGATATATAAAGTTATTTTCAGGGATACACAAAAAATGCCCTTTTTGTTTTGGTTGGCTTGTGGGCTTTCATTTACTGAGGTTGGGGTGTGTGTATGTGTGTTTCTTAAAGAACTGTTAGAAGGCAAAGGTGAAGCCTCAGTTCCTCTCCACAAGTCAGGCTCTGATAGCGTTAGAGCCAGATGAAGGAGATGTTACCCTGGCTAGTGGGTACCTTAACATTATCTGACTGTCACCACCTTCCCTTCCCTTCCTTCTCAGTTCTCTTTTTTCCTTTTTTTTTTTTTTTTTTTTTTTTTTTTTTTTTGAGGAATGAACAATAATTGACTGTGTCAACTAGCTCGGTTCACTGCTTCTCCAAGGTAAAACCTGTCACTTAGGCAAATTATCTGTGCACATGGGTGAAAAGCATTTCCTCTATGGTGGCAGGCTGAGTGTGAGTATTTTTATTTCATTTGAAAAGCCTTCCCCATGACAACCACACAAGTTTGTGTGCTCTAAGAGTGGTTGCCACGTGATTGTCTGCAATTGCTCCTGGGATTTTCACAAAAGCTGATGAACTGTACCGCTTCTGAGTGTGTTGGTAAAAGACTCTGGATCAAAACATTTAAAATCTGACACATTAATTCCTTTCTTCTACATATTTCTTTTTTTCCCTTGGACTTATTGAGTAAGAGCTTCCTTCAACAAAATGCATTGATAAGCAAGTGAAAGCCCTCAGTTTACAATATACTGTTATTGCCAATGGTTAGATTTCTTTCGGGGGTACTGGCAATGTTATAAAATTAGATTAGGGTGATGGTTTCACAACCCTGTAACTATACTAAAAACGGTCAAACTGCACATTTTAAATGGGTGAACATTATGGTATATAAACTGTATTTCAATAAAGCTACATGTATAGACACAAAACACTGTGACCTTTGGTAGAATGAATCAAAACGTGTTTTAGGAAAATACGGAATTCTTTTGACAACAAAGCTGCAAATATAAAGACAAGTTATCAGAAACTAGAATTGATACATTCTAAGACTGCTTCCCAAAAGACATGTGACTCTGTCCTGGATAGAAGATGTACATGAATTTTAATGATAGCAACATTATTCCCCCTTGACTTTTTTCTGATATTCTAAAACCCTTCATCAAACCAAATAGTTAGTCAACCGGTAAGTTAGCACCTTAGCCTCTGTTGATTCTATAACTGCTAAGATCAGAATACTGTGAGGAAAAAAATCCCATTCCCTAGAAACAGAGAAACAGGTTCCCATTGTAATATCTCTTCTTATGAATTATCTGTCTTTAAATGTAATAGAGCATTACCCCCTTAAATCTAAATTTTTTTTCTGTTCAAAATTGGGGGAATTCAGCTCATTTTAAAGTAATGAGTTGACTTTGCTATTCTAACAATGCAGTCCTATAAAACTACCCTCTGTGTCTATGTTTTTCTCTAGTCTATGTTTTCCACTAATTTGGGGCCATATGAGTAATTTCCAGATGTCATAAGTATGTGTAATCATTTAAAGATACAATTTTAAATCCTTTTCAAAATAAGAATTTAAATACCTACTGCATTAATTGGATTTAGATTTTCTATTTTCTTAAATTAGGGAATTCTGACTTACCAGCTAATATGTCATTTTCTAGCAAATTACTTATTCTGTTGAATAAACCAGTATTTTCTAGAAAATAACGAATATGATTCTGGGACATACTGCTGCATGTCTTGCCTAATATTCTGTCTGTCAGATGAACCACCTCAGGGTAGGAATGGAACTGAATAAAGATTCCCCCCAAATCATGACCTTCCCAAGGTGGAGATCTAACCCCAATATCTTTGGCTATTTATAGCCTGATATTAATTTATTTACATAAACTAATCTGTTTTCCTAAATAATTCTTTCCAGCATGTTATCACTTCTTGGTATAAAATTCCATAATGATGAGGTGCCTGGGTGGCTTAGTCAGTTGAGCATCTCTTTTTTGTTAATTTTTTATTTTAATTTTTGAGAGACAGAGTGTGAGCAGGGTAGGGGCAGAGAGAGGGAGACACAGAATCAGAAGGAGGCACCAGGCTCTGAGGTATCAGCACAGAGTCTGACATGGGGCTTGAACCCAGGAATGCAAGATCATGACCTGATCCAAAGTTGGATGCTCAACTGACTGACCCACTCAGGTGCCCCAAGCATCCAACTGTTGATTTCAGTTCAGGTCATGATCTCAGGGTGATGAGATCAAGGCCCATGTCGGACTCTGCACTAATAGCACAGAAGCTGCTTGGGATTCTCTCTCCCTCTGTCTCTGCCCCTCCCCTGTTCTCTCTTTCTCAAAATAAATAAATAAACTTTTAAAAAATAAATAAATAAAATTCCATAATGATAAGACAGTACTTTCATTTTTGTCCTAGAAAATGACAGCACTTGTTGGACCTTAAAAGATGCTTCCTAAAAAAAAAAAAAAAAAAAAAAAAAAGATGCTTCCTGAGTTCTGCAATTGTGCAGTTGGATAAAAAAGCCCATGTTGGCTGAGGCCGTGCCACCACAGACTTCTTATCTCGTGTCCTGATACTTAGTTCATATGTGGGCCCCTTTCTCTTCCATTTTGCCTTATAACCGCCTTGAGTACCCACTGAACACAGGACGCCTGATACATGACTAGAGCCATTTTGTTTCAAGATGTAAATGATGATGACCTAGGGGTTTACTTAACTTGGGGTCATTGGGGGATGTGAATGTGCACTGAAGGAAGCCAGTGGCTGTTCTCTGCTTTCCCAGGGGAAAACCTGCATCCAGGTCTTTAAGACCTGACCCGATGAGACTACTTATAAGGAAAAGGGTTGGCATTTCCCTTTTCTTTCTAATGGCAAGTAGAAACTTAGTCCCTGTGGGATGTCTGAGATGACAGTATCCAGATGTCCTCTGAAGGCCAATCTTATCTATCTTTTCATTTCTCCACTTTCCTGGTTTAAATAGGTATTCTAGCAGAAATGCAGTATCTGACACTTAAGACTGTGCTTTCAAATTCAGTGAGTCCTAAGTAATCAGTACACAACCTCAATAAATTAAAACTATAGGATTTCCATTCTCTAAATTTAAAAATCTTCTGTGGTCACTTCTGGAGAGGTGGCCTTGTTTGGTCTTGCTTGAACAATGAGCTTAATTTATACTTCATGCCAAATACCAGAGTGTCAAGACTGGCTCACACTGGCAAAGCAAATTTGGGCCTCAGCCCAGCTAACTTGTGCCACCCTGCAGTGACAGGAAGGGTTGCATGAGGGTAGAATGGCACTTCTTTTTGTTCTTTCCTACAGCTGACTGTGGAACTTTTTATCTATTTTATGCCTTTGAAAGTCATCTGGCCTACCAGAGGCTCACAGATTCCCCAATCATGAAAAAAGCAAGAGACCAGGGCAGGAAGAGGTGGCAAAATTCTCAACAAGGTAAAACAAGCCAATTACAAGAAAACTTCAATCTGTAAAGAGACACTCTCCTTCTTACTTATTCACTCCTTATGATGTGCCTCCCAACTGTTTTTTTTCTCCTTATGGATTATTGTACTGGATAGGGTAGAGAAAGGCAGAGGAGAATCAGGATAAATGGGCAGGAGGCTCATTTATAAAGGTGTGTCTTTGGTGTCGACTCGCAGCACTGTGAAAGCTGCCACGTTGCCAGTAATGTGGAAAATATGCAAAGTGCTGTTCAGAGAAGTAAGGGTATGTGTGCCGCATATGAAGTGCCTTGGAATATGATTAACTTCCCTTCATAAGTAGTAAATAGTAGATAACTGTGATCAAAACCGGGATTCATGTGATTTATCAAGCTGAGCAACTGTGCATTTGCAGAGAAGCTGGAGGTCAATCTTGAAATCTAGGGCAAGAGGAGCACTAGGAAATTGCCAGGGCTAAGAAGTTAATCATACCCTTGGACTGCTTCCATCTGTCTCAGAGCGACAGAGCTGCTGCAGAACGAGCAGGGATGCTTTATAGCAGCAGATCAGGAATTAATATTTTCTGTGAAACCTCAAGCATCATTTGCAGTAACTTGGGTTTTATAAAAATGGAGCATAATTTCATATGAATAAATCACATTCGGCTGGAAATAAGAGAAGCTGAGAAAAAAACTGTGCTTGACTTACAAAAAAAAAAAAAAGGAATGAGCAAGAAAGCCAACATGAAAACAGTTGTTGAAGCAATGGCACTTGGAGAGCATGAGTGGCCGTGTGGTTAAATTGTGCATATAATCATCTTCTGAAATGTCAGCGTGCAACTCCAGAAATGGCTACATTTTTATAGCCGTGGAGATGCATCACCAGACTGTAACCTGTCTGCCCATCTGGCAATATCTCAGGTCCAAAATCCATTTATATTGAAATCCAAACAACTGCCATTGATTGATTCACTTATGCCACA